ACAGCCCTTTCTCTCTTCTGTGCTCCTAGTTCTGAAGACAAATAATTACCACTCAAATAGCATTTTACATGCTTTGAAAGTTGGACTCCAGTGACACAGCCCCTGCCTTTGGAAGGGGGAATGTGGTAACGACCTTAGCAAGGGGCTATGGCCACACAACTCTGCCCGGAGGCTCAAAGCTGGGCCTGGAATAGCTGCGCCAAGAAAAGCCTCTCCAAAGCTGACTGTCCCCATGGTCCTGAGCCTGCTGGGGACACGAGGGCCGCAGGGCTGACCAGGGGTACTCACCTCTCCCCTCTGCAGGAGCTTCCAGTCTCAGGGAATCCAGGAGTCTCCCTTCAACAGTGCCAGCCTCAGACAACAGCCAAGAAAATGTGTTGTTTTGCAGGCACATCCCCTACTCTGCATTTATTTCCTCTTTGCAAATGCTCTTTCAGCACAGACACAGCCTCCTTGGCAGGTCTGCAAGGGCATTTCAAGAAACCAAGTTTTGTTTTGTTTGTAATTTATGGCAAGCCTGCAGCTCCCGAACTGCCCAGCGTCAGGAAAGAGAAGGCTGCTGCGCTACCCCTCACCCCAATGGTTGTGGAGTGATTAAGGATGGCTTTAATTTGAGGCCTGCAGCTCAACAGCTCCCAAAGGATTGATAAAATATATATAGCAATCTCCAGTTCCACCTCTGGAGGCTGAACTCTCTCCGGATGATTAACGACAGCTATTTTCTCCATCTCTCTCCCTGCCACTGAGGAAGGCTGATTCTCTGCAAGGTCCTATCAGCACCGGCCCACACTCTGACTAGCAAACAGCAGCATTTACAATCAGAAAAACACTGCAAGAAATTGAGCCAGCTCCAAGGAGGCGAGGCAGCACCACACAATGAAAGGACAGCTCTTTTAATAAATAAATTGGGGTAAACGGCGTCAGGCTCCTGCAGCAAGTCCTGCTGGGCTGGGTTAGCAGCACTGGCATAAAACAGTGGGAACAGAAGTGGGAACCCCTCTGTGCAGCCCCTGTGTCTGTCCCCAGCAAGGCTGAAAGCAGCCCTCCCTATGCAAGTAAAAATTAGCCTTTTGGCATAGAAACAAAGCTGCTGGTTAAATGTTTCTTTTTTTTTCCCTCTTTGTTTTCTCCTCTCTGCTCATTGCTACAGTTTTGGGCTCAAAGGGATTGCAGCATGGGTGGGAAAATAGCACTCTTTTATATTAAAGAAAGAGCTACCCAAGGAATAGGCAACAGCTGTGTCCTGCATGACCACCACTTATCAGGGGCTCTTGGGCCAAAGGCAGCCAAAAAGCGTCAATTTAATTTTCAAAGCACATGCGAACAACAGGGCTGGGGCGCAGAGCTGTGAGGAACCTGCAGGAACACAAACCAGTTCTCCAGAAACCTGCCTTCCCCAGCCCCGTGGGCCCTCGTCTGCTGCCGAGGTCTCTGCAGTGCCGGGTAGGTGGTACCTGGTTAATGGAAAAGCTTCCAGCTGCGGGTGAAGCGGTTACTTCTGGAGAAGATGAAGGGCTCCAAGGATGTGCAGAAGGAGCCCAGCTATGGACGCAGGCCTGAAGAGATCAGGGTACGGCTGCAAATACTCATTGGGCTGCTCCAGGCCAGCAAGGGATAATCCTTGGAAAAACAACCAACTGCTGCTCTGCTGCACACCGCCATGTGCGTTTCCTCCTGAGAGAGGTCACAAAAACTGGAGTCTTAGGTGTTGGGATGGTGCCTAAAATCTAGAAATACTTCAGCTTGGTCCCTTGCCAGGTCACTGGTACAGCTAAGTGTGGCAAGCCTCCTTCTCAGACCTAGGAGAGCTTGTTCCCACCTGAGGACATAGGAAATTCTCCAGTGCTGCTCTTTAAGAGTGGGTGCCAGGGACACAAGCATTAGCTGTTATTTAAAAGAAATTGTTTGAGCTCAAGACTATGACAAGGAATCTGGTGAGGAGAGACAGCTTCTTGGGTACCACAGCCCCAGGGAACAGCCCACGTGGGAGAGGAAAAGGAAGTCACAACATGCACTTCCAGAGGAGGTGGAAGATTCAACGCAGGCAAAGAACTCCCCGGGGAGAGCTTCACTTAGGAGGCATAAGTTTAATATTTATTTAGTGCAGGCCTGGGGAAGAGAACTGGGAAATAAGGCAAAGGCAAATTATCCTCCAGAGCCCAATTCAGCATCTCCTACACACAGACCATGGGAAGCAGCAGCTGTGCTCCTCCCCAGAGTCATGTTCCATGTCTTCCCCATCTGCTGGAGCACGGCCCAGCACTTACAAGTCCAGAAGGAATCGACTGACTTTCTTCAGGTATTCTGACTTCAAGTAATCTCCCAGCTCATCCTTTGTAACCCACAAGAAATCTTCTTTCAGCTCTGCCTGGGACAAATCGTTGCTCTGGAGGAAGGCTTTGAAGAAGAAGACTTTGGCTCCCATGTTGTCCTCGGTCCTGATGGCCCTGGGGAATTTGTACTTGTAATGCCCATACGGTGCATTCCCCAGGAACTTGGCCTGGATATGATCTCCTGCAAGACACCAGGAAAGCAAGGAAAAGAAAACAAGACATAAGAACACCGAGCAATAGCAACCACTTTAGTGAAATAAGAGAATGGGTACAGGACATGTTCAGTTCAGACTGACAGTTCCTTCTTCCCAGCAGAGATATTGTCTATCATAAGCTTCATTTCATGAAAAATCTGTTTCTCCTGGTGTCCTGCAAGTTGTCTAAAGGCAGGAGAGGCAGGGAAAGCGCACCAAGCCCTACCAACCCATCCTGAAAAGAAGGGAGGGCAGATTTGCTAACACCCTTTTGCCACAAGTGGCTATAGGGTGACAAGAGGAGAAGTGAAGCTTCATCTCGAGCAACCCCAGAGCATTCAGGAGGCAACTGGTGATGCTTAAACATCAGGCTGCAGATCAGTCCTGGCACTCACCCCGGTGGTCCCTTGCACAAAGCACAGCAGCTGAGCACAGAGCAGCTCCAGTCCCCCTGCAGCAGGGCACAGCCACAGAGCAGCTTCACAACTCTGCTTCCACAGCTCGTGCCACAAGCCCCAGCACATTAGCTCGGCCCCTCTGCCAGGAAATCCCTTTTCTCAGATTACTGAGAATTGCAAATATCCCTACAGTAGGTCAAGGGAAGAAATCAAGCAGGACAACGAGGAGAAAAGGGCGAGGGCCGCAGCAGCCCACGCACCCAAGGAAGCGGCCAGCGCTCGCTCCGCTGTGCTCCGCAGCGTCTCCCCAGGCTGCCATTCTGCTTGTGGCAGGAGCCACAGCTCCTGGTCACCAACTTTCTGTTTCACCAGAAGCATCAGGTTACTGTCCAGCTTTCTCTCCAGGGACGTTCGAATGTTGTTTTTATCAGCATCTGCCAAAAAAGAACACACACTGGAAGCAGTCAGCAGCACCCAACCCACCAAAACAGTTCGACACCTGCCTCCTTCCCACACCCTTCTAGCAGCAAGTGACACACGGCACTCGTACACAGAACACAATGACAACTGAGACCACGCTCTCAGTCTCTCTGCAAGCCCACGCACGATTCAAGTGGAACCCGCTGCTAGGCTGCACTCACTTTGAACACAATTTAAAACAAGCAGTTTGCATTTTTAGTTGGGTAAAAATCCGTCACAGCCCTATGCAAGTTTGTAGATCAAGCTAACCGAAGTTCCTCCTGTGTCAAAAGGAAATCCCCTTGGCCCCACTTTGTAATGTCGTGTCTACAAGCGTGACTTCACTGCGCAGAAACAAGGCTTCCCTTGCGAGCTGGTTAATTCCTCTCATGCTGACGGTGCTGCCGGGTGGCCGAGACCCTCGTTAAAAACCCCGCGAGCGCCTTCACTGGGCAGCGCTGGGCCCGGCTCCGGGGCCGCTTCGCTCCCTACCCGTTACCCGCGGCGCGGCTCGGAATCGCTGCAGCTTCTGCTCCCACTTGTCCTCCAGGTCCTGGGCCATGATGACGGTCTGGCCGGGCCCCTCGTCATCGTCGTACCCGCTCTCCTTCCTCCTCCGGAGCTGCTCTTCCTCCTCCAGCTTGCGGAGCTCGTGGTCGGAATAGCGGCTCTTCTCCAGCTCTATCTGGGAGGGCCGCACGGGCCCGTGAGGCCTCGGCCGCGCTCAGGGCAGCGCCCGCGGGCGGAGCGGGCCGCACGTTCACGGGGGATGGCACGAGCCCGGGACGCGACAGCCCATCCCTGGGGAAGGGCTGGGAACGGCACCGGGATGGGGCGGCGGGCCAGGCCCGGCGCCTTCGGCCTCTCCGGCTCACCGCGAGGGAAGGCCCCGCGCTGGCGGGACCCCGGGCCGCCATTTCCTACTCGCCCCCTCCCAGGGGTCCCCGCCGGGGCCGCCATTTTCCCTCCCCCCCGGGGGTCCCCGCCGGTCGCGTCTACCTGCCCCATGAGCGCCGCCATCTCCTCCTCCTCCCGCCTCATGGGCTGCGTGACGCGGGGCAGCCTCAGCAGGCAGAGCGCGCCGAAGAGCCGCCACGGCCGCGGCGCGGCCGCCGCCATCGCCCGCCGCACGGGCGCCGCCATGGCGCTCCCACAGTGCGCCGCGCTGGGCGCCGCCATCTTTCCTCCCAGCGCCCATCATGCCTCGCGCTGACCCGGCCGCCGCCGGTGCCGCCGCCGCTACCGGGAGAGGCGCGCGCGCTACGGAGGCCGGCGGGAGCCATGAGCGCGGCGCTGGCGGTTGCCGGGCAACGGCTGCTGTGCGCGGCGCGGCGGTGAGCGGGCAGGCCGCGCGGGCCGGGCCGGGCCGGGCTCCCCCGGGGCCGCCTCGCCGCGCGGCCTCACCGCTCCTCGCCCTTCTCCCGCAGGGGCTGCGGCGCCGCGCTGCGCCGCGCCGTGCAGAGCGGCGCGGGGAGGCCGCAGGAGCCCGCCGGGAAGGTGGCGGCCAAGGAGGCGGAGGGCCAGGGCCCGGGCGAGCTGAGGTGAGGCCGGCGCGCTGCGGAGCCGCCTCTTCCATTAGCCTCGCACCGGGAGCCTCCCACCCCGCGGCGAGTGACTGGAGTCAATCACCGGCACAGCTGGTGTGGCTGTGAGAACAGACAGCTCTCGATCCCTTTGCTTCTCTGCCCAAATTCCCTGGAAATATGACACGAAACTTGGCAAAAGTTAACGAGCCAGCGCCTGATACGGCTTGTTTTGCTCCTCAGCCCTCTGATCCTGCAAAGGAGCTCCATGAGATGGGATGGGAAGACGTACGAGGAGATCCCCATAGCGCACATCAAAGCCACGTACAACAAGTAAGCGACAGCCTCTGCGCCCGGCCTGTGCTCATGCAAAATGAAAATGAAAATGCAGAATGAGTTACCGTGTTCCTGGGCTACAGCCGGTCATCATTCCAAGGAGAACGCTCCGTGGGTCAGGGAAGGAGCGATCGTGTCGGGGAAGAGAAAAACACACAGCCCAAACCTCGGGGCTGTTCAGGAAGCCCAGCCGCCTGTGTAGTGTCTTAAATAAGGCAGTTATTACCAATTTTGACTGCATTCTGATGTGAGTAATTGGATGCTGACAGCTTTTAATGGCACGTTCATTCCTGCCCTCAGTTCTAGCAGTCTTGCTACTGCAAGCTGAAAGCGCTGTCGCGTTATCCTCAGGAGGTGGCCGATTTCACTAGTGATCCCTAATGTAGTGATTTACCATTTCTTAAAGCTCTTTGAGGTTCTAAAAATAGTCTGTGTATTAAAAAAAAAAAAAAAAAAGAAGAGGTAAAATATAGAGGGAAGTGCTTCTGACAGAGTTAAACTTATCTGAGCAATACCAAGCAGGAGAGGATCATCCAAAAAGGTTTTACCATCCCCGATTCTCCCGGATGGCTGAGAAGTTCTCTGCAGCCGGTTAGTGCAACCGAGACGAGTCGGAGCGCCGAGTTAAGATGGCTTGAGAAGGGCAACGAGAGTGGCAAGCCTTGCAAGTTAAGCAGAATGAGAAGAAACTGAAAAGTCTTGTTCTTAACACCTTTCTTTCTGCCCTCCCCTACTCCAGCACCCACATCCAGGTCGTCAGCTTCGACAACAGGCCCTTTGCCCATACGTCGTGCGGCACTGAGGGCTTCCAGAATGCCAAGAAGGGCACGGCCATCGCAGCGCAGACCGCGGGCATTGCGGCGGCGGCGGTGAGTCTGTGCTCGCTGTGCCCACCCCGCAGAGGGAGAGCTCCTCACAGCTCTCCCCGTGCTGCCAGCGGGTGCCGAGGATACGGGCACCCTCGGAGACTTCAGCTCTTCTCAGCGGGATGGAGAGGGGAGCAGGAATTCTGCTTCTCGTTCCTGCTGCCGTGCCCTGTTCATGGGGGCAGGCCTGGCCTCTGCTCCTTAGAGCTGGGCATCCTGCTGCTGTTTGCAGACCCTTTCCCAAGCTTCATGTGACACAGTGACGGTTTGGATGCAGACAGGGCTGTTAGAAATGCCCAGGTGGGGAGCTTAGCTGGGCACGTTGGGATTGAGATTAAGTTGCAACTTCCCCTCTTCTGCTCCAGTGGGTAAAGCTGCTTTTTCTGAGTGGATTTCAGTCCACTGGAAATGTGGCCCCTTCATGTGCAGTTATTCAGTTTCTGCATTGTAAAGGACAGAGAAGTGGCTGTAATTACTGGCTGTAGGCTTTCTATGTGCTCCGTGACACAGGAGAACTGATGCCAGCAGCTGCAGCCACAGAAGGTGATGTCCTTGCATGTGTAGTTTCCAGATCCATGCAGTGCGTGGTAATCACCTCTAGAAAAAACACGGGGGTGTCCAGATGGCAGGAGAAAATGAGACAGTCTGTGTCACGGCCCTCGTTATAGCTGAACGAGACAAGGTGAAACTGAAAATCCTGCTAAACCAGGATTTCCACCTAAACAAGGTGGAACTCGCTCCAACCTTCCAGACCAGAGGTGTTTGGTGCCACTGCTGGCTAACAGCCTACAGGGGTTTGCTCAGCAGAATGTAAGAACATTTCTGCTATTAATCTTTGCTCGTTGGAGTCTCTTAACAGCTGTACGAGTGTGCTTGGCCACATTTGTTCCTCTGTTAAAGTGGATTAAATGCACCAGAGCACAGGAGAGAAATCCCGAAGGGCTCCGCTTGGTGGCAGTGCTGCCACACTCGACCGCAGGTGTTTTTCATCTCCAATTTCCAAGCCCCTAGAATTTTTGTACTCAACGTGTGGACTCCTGCACAGCAAATCTAAAGCTTCCTTGCTTTTCTCATTTACCTTCTAGAAGGAATCTGCTCATCGCAGGATAGAAATCACTGCATTTGACAAGGGAAAACAGCATGGAATTAGTCCTTGCTAGTCCCTTCCCAGTGTAGTCACGTCTCAGGGATATGTCATGTTCTGTCCTGACCGTAGGTTGCAGGAAGTTTGATTTAAAGCTTTCTCAATCTGCAGAATTGGCAACCTAACATAGAAGCTCTCTTGAATCTGTCACTTTTTTCTTTTTTTTTTTTTTCTGACTAATGTCTGTCTTTGTGCAGTAACCCCAGCATTTGTCTTTTGTATCCATCCATTAATACCTACGTTTTATTTTTACTTAAAGCATACCATGCTATTAGGTCAGAAGGGAATGAAAGACTAAAGACTACAGAGGAGCCAAAGCAGTAGGAGAGGTATCAAAAGGAACATTAATGAGTTCTTCATTTTTTCTCAGAAAGCACGTGGGAAAGGTGTATTCCATGTACGAGTCATGGTGAAAGGACTGGGACCAGGGCGCAAAGTAAGTGTCTCCATTTCTTTCCATGTTTTTCTTTTCTCCCCCCCCCCCTTTTTTTTTTTTTTAAATTCAGGCTGGACTCATGATTGCAGCTATTAAATGCCTCTTCTTTCCTACTCATAAAGAATCCAGTCACAAAAAGAAATCATCCTGCTGGTGAAATTTTAGAGCAATTTTACTTTGAGGACAGAGTAGAAACCGAACATTGGTTTCTTCCAACTGAAGTGGCATAACTGATAGGAAATGCGGTGAAAGGACTGCAAAGAAAGGAAGGTTTGAACTGGGTTTCCTAATAATAATTATTGACTTTTAAGATAATGGTAAAGTGGAAGCACTGGTCGCTTCTGAAATCCCCTTGTTGCAGGCTGTTTTCCCCCGAGCTGCTCTCCCTCGCCACGCTGCAGGGTGCTGCCAGCCCAGCTGCCCCTCGCTCTTGCAGGCTGCCATCAAGGGCCTGACGATGGGCGGCCTGGAGGTCATCTCCATCACGGACAACACCCCCGTGCCACACAACGGCTGCCGGCCCCGGAAAGCCAGGCGCATGTGAGAGGAAAGGAGGAGCCGGCGGCGTGCGGGAGCAGCGGCTGCAACGTGGACCGCGGGGAGGGCTGCTCCTGGGACACATCCTGGAGAGCCTCCTTCCACAGAAATGTCTGCGAGGGGAGCTTGAAGAGACCACCTTAGGTTGGTGGTGCAAGCAGGGATGCATTTACTTGCTTAATGCAAAGTCTCTTGTGTACAAAATCTGTTGATTAAAATGTTGATCTTCTGACAGCTGTTCCTGCTGCGTGCAAAGAATTATTTGGGATTATTACTGCCTCTCAACTGCTTTCTTCCTCTCACCACAGTATGTGGCTCTTGTCTAGCTCTCAGTAGTACTGTCGCCCTCGTGGGGTGGAAGGGGAGCTTCGGCAGTGTGTAAACACTCAGTCCTTTCCAGTCATCTAGTATAATAAGACCGCCACAGGGTCACTGTTGTCCTCCCTTTCTCCTCTTGCAAGCATCTGGAAGCTCAACCTGAGGGTAACTCTCCCCCTTTCATCTGGCTTGGAGAGTTCAGGGCGCTGTGCAGAGGCAGCACTGCCCGTGTTTGCACAGCATGGAGCTCTGCCCTCTGAACTCACTGCCCAAAGATCTGCTGTGGTGCTTTGCTTTGCTAAGCTGGAGCTGGCCTGTCAGCATTACTGACAAACAGAGAAGGCCAGGCCTTCTGCGGAGGCTGACATCTGGCCAGACCTGATGCTTGCAAGCTCTTGGTCCTGTCCTGGGCACCACAAGCTGGGTTTGCTGGGGCTCCTGGGGAAAGCAGGCAGGGCGTTAGCAGCTCTGCGGAACAAGGAAACGCTACCAAAGAGATTCAAAACACGTAAGACTTGAACTGCACCTCTGCACATTCCCAGGCAGCATAGGCTGTGTCATGGCTCTGTGATACATTACTGCTGTCCCAGCTCCATCCAGAGAGAATTCCTGCCAGGCAAATATGTCTGGGTCTCTCCGGAGCATTAACTAGGGGAGGGAGCAGAGCACGATGCCCAGCAAAGGGCAGCTTCTCCGGCCCCACGCTGCCACCCTTGGCTCTCCACAGCCCGTGCTGGCCAAATGCTTCTGTAAACAGACTGTCTTCTGCAGCCACCAGTCCTACCGCACACCCTGCATCTCCCCTTCTATTATTTCTCTTTCTGTGGTTCCTCCTTAGTATCTTAAATTGCATAATTAACTATTCTCTTCCTCTTTAGAGAAAGGGGTACCATGGCAACAAAGCAGTGAACCTCCTTCGTGGGGCTGAAAGGCACAGAGCAGGGTTTGAAAGAAATCAGCCTGCTCAGAAGAGCCTGGTGAGTCCTTGTGACAGAAGATAATAAGGCTCAGACGAGTCCCCTACCTTACTCCAACTCTGTGTCTGAATTTGAATAGAGGGTAGGTTGTCTAGGGACATTCCTTGAACTATTACTGATTTGACAGCAAGGAAAGAGATTCATCCACAGTCACAAACATCTAAAGGACTGGAAGAGCTTCCCCTTGCTCCAGAGACACGGCTGAGCTTCCAGCAAATTCATATTACTCATTTTAAAGAGAAGATGCCAGGACTATACATGATATAAGAAGCCAGCTATAAATCACAAAGATTACCTTCCAGTGTGTGGCAGCTAGCCGAGAAAAGCCACGTGTGGCCACTGATGTGTCCTGCAGGAAGGTTTGACTGGGTTCTGTGCCGAGCACCAGGAGCAGCCTCGCCGAAGGGAGAGGGCCCTTCAGCACCGACGGGTCCATCGGTGATGTCCTGCGCAGCTCAACTGGAGAGAACAAATCCTTCCCTGCCAGGAGCTGCTCGTTGCACCGGTGCAACCAACAACAATGCCCGTTAGACAAGGGCAGCGGAACAGACTGAAGAGTAAGATGGGGAAAAGAGCTGTGGTCCATCCAAAAGGTGGCATGGCTACAGTCAGAGAGCAATTAGAGTAAATCTTTGTCTTACCCAAGCTGGGAATCAAGGCCGTGCTCTTTTAAGACTGCTCTGTAACAGTCTTGGTTTTGGAGCATTTATGAACATACAAATTACCAATACTCTGACACTGTCCACACAATACCAAGCTTTATATCCTGCCTGCTCTGCCCAGCTCTAGCACTTAGCTCTGCTACTTCCTCAAACTGAAATCTCTGGCACTCCGACCACACCAAGGAGGCTGCTGTTATTTTCCCCATGTTCAGTGCCTGGATCTCTACAATATTACACCGTTGTCTTCCCGTCCCCCAGCTCCACAGGCCCTCCCAGCGCTTTCAAGTGTGTTGTCTCGTTGCACAGCTGGAAGTGGCCTTTTCCACCCGTCTTCTCTCTCCTCCTGATGAAGGACCCCGAAGCAGAGGCCGCACTAAGGGCTCCCAGCTGCACTAAGGGCTTCTGCTCCCTGGGCAGAAACACGAGGGCTCCGCAGCAGCTCAGCGAGTGGGTGAGCTCAGCTACGCCAAGGGGACTCTCCACCCTTGTGCAAGGGCTCGGCCACCTCTTCTGCTCTTCCTCTCCATATGAGGAAGAACTTCACTGTGAGGGTGACAGAGCCTTGGAACAGGCTGCCCAGGGAGGCTGTGGAGTCTCCTTCCCTGGAGATCTCCCAAACCTGCCTGGATGCTGCCCTGTGCCCCGTGCTCTGGGTGTCCCAGCTGGAGCAGGGGGTTGGAGTAGATGATCTCTAGAGGCCCCTTCCAACCTCAACCAGTCTGTGATTCTCCCCACCACACACCCTGTGCTGCAGAAGAGGAGCCTTAAAACTCTCTATTGTTGTTCCTCTTGCAGGAAATTAACAGACACCAATAGCACTTAATGATTTCCTTACCCTTCAAATGAAACTATTAATTAAAGACCTGGCTTTAGTCAGCTACTGGTATTTACCAGGTTTAATTGCTTTCCTCGGTGCCTGGGTGGAATATTGCTTTGTCCTGGCTCACCTCCCTCCTGAGCAGCAATTACTTCAGCAATCGGAAGCAGGGCCACAGCATTAGCACTGCTGCCAGGTTCAGATCCCTCCTTTCAGGGTTTCCCCCTTTTGCGGGGACATTTTTCTCTATATCCCCTCTCTATATCCCCTCTATATCGCTCCCCTCCTTCCCAGTTTCGATTCCCTACCCTCAAACAAGCCTCTCTTCTCAACACCAGCTCAGACACTTCTACTGACCACAACACCCCGTTCTTCAACCCAGTTCAACCCTGGCCTCTCTAGGTTTTTCCCTTGCCTTTTAATTTTCCTTTCTGCATCACCTGGAGGCTGAAATACAGCACAGAGTCCTGAGTTACAGAAAATACACCACTTCAGCTCTGTTTACTCCTTAATATCACCTTCAGGACTTGGTCTAACTGTTGCACATGGATGGGACCTGGTGGCTTGAGGAAAAAAAAAAATCCCCCACATTTATTTCTAACAGCATATATTATTCTGCAAAGAGGAATTGCTTCCCTAACCCCTGCTCCAAGGGGCTCCTATCCAGAGCTGCAACTTTATTGGCCCAAATGGTGATTTACTATTTCCTACACATGCGTCTCAGTGACAAGAGTCAGGCAGCCAATTTCGATCCCTTTGAGGGATTCAATTAAGCCATTAATTAAGTGATGGCAGTGTCCTTTAACAGCTGACCGTACACACAAGCGAGCGAGGAGACGGACCTGCAGCAGCAGTCACTGTAGCAGCAGGGGGGCTCTGCGCAGCCCAGCAGTCACTGTAGCAGCAGCAGTGACATCCAAGCAGGTTTTCCTGGCTTTTCCCGGAGTGGGAATACCTGCAAGAGGTAGGCAGTGTGCCGAGGTGTCCCTAACCCCACCGGGAGGCAACAGTTGAGATGAGGTGACGTTCTGCCTGGGCAGTAATCACCCTTGTGCAAAGTTGCAGCCCGAGGAGCCCAGCCCCTCTTCTCCCTGCAGCTGCCCCTCCAACCTCAGCCCAGAACAAGATCAAGGACCCTCAGATGGTTTCTGTGCTTCTACAGTGTTCTCCTCTCCCCTCAAGAGGTATTAATAGGCACTTAGCAACGGTGGGAGCCACTCAGAGGTTTGACTAATGAACTGCCTAATAGCCTCCCAGCCCCGTGCGGATGGTGAAGATGGGCTGCACGCTCCTCTTAGGGAGGAAGCAGCAAGTTAGCCAAGCAAACACCATCTCGGCACTGCTTCCTTCTTCCCCAGCCACTCGTGCTTCCGCTGCTGCATTCTCCACCTTCCCTCGTCCTAGTGCTGCTTCTTGGGGTCCTTTTGCTTCTCTGGAGCTCATAATTCTCTTGAGGGCCCCATATCTGTGGAGAGTCAGACTGTGAATGGAGCCAAGACCTGGGCTGAAGCCTCTCGGCAGACAGGGAGCCCTGGGGGCCATCGGGTGCTGCTCCGGGAGCACCCACTGCTTGTTCCCTAGAGAAAAAAGGTAGAAAGGGAAAAGTGCTGAGGGTGAAGAGCTGAGCGGCAGGCAAAGATGTGAGGAACAAAGCAAAGATGGGCCAGGAAAGAGAGAACCTGGAGGCACAAGTGCAAGAAGAGGTGATCCCATTTTGCCAAACAGCATTAGCCCCTCCAAAGGCGAAACCTGCCACCTCGCTGTCCAGGAAACCGTGCAGCATCAGGATGAGAAGCCAGGAAAGGGCCCTGCAGCAATGAGGTCACTTCAGAACCAGGCTAAATCCACACATCTTTCCTGTCTTCCCCTCAGGACCTCCCCATCAGAAGCCCAGGGCAGTCTTGTGTCGGAGTCTTCCTCCCTCCGCACAATCAGCTCCTTGGAGCGTTCACTCCATCACTTTAAGGAAGGCTTGAGGAGCCTCCCGGAGCTGCATTTACAAACTTCTCCAAAGTCTCTCCAAGCAGCAATAACTGTCCTCAGATTCTTCCTTTCCTTTCCAAACTCAGTCTGAAATCCCTTTACGGTGCTTCCCTACTTCATGATTCATTTCGCAAAGCCAAACTCCGAGCCGGGGCGTCTCGGGCTGACGTCTGCAATGCCTCCCAGCCACATCTGCGAGCACTTCTGCTCCCGGTCTGCTCCTTCTGCCTGCTTCTCTGGGCAAGAGCAAGCCAGGCTGCCCACCAGGACTCTGGAAACAAGCAACACGTGGGGCTAGGCAGGTGTAAGACACATCCTTCCCCACCAGCGACTCTTCATCAGCTTCTTCAGCAGGTCCCATGATGTGGTGGTGAAACACGGCTCTAATCTCTTTACCAGTCTGGAGGCAACCAGCTCCTCGTGGCTGCCAGGGACAGGGATGACCCTCGTGCCACCCCTTGCAAAGCCTTGGCTGCTACCTTT